GGTGTCCCAAAAATATTGGAGGTTCTTAAAGGGGTGGTTGGAAGGGGGGGGGGGTGATTTGAAACAGCTTTTTTCTTAGCGAAAATGTTGTTTTAACATTATTTCAACACAAAAACTTTTGCCTTAGTGAAAATGTTATTTTAACACCATTTCAACGCAAAAGTTGTTTCAGATCACCCACCCCTTTGAAGGATCTGCAACATTTTGTATAATATACAGGGCGGTAAAAAAGTATGGAAATTCCTAGATATCTCACGAGTTTAGTGATACAACTAAACAACAAAGGTCACACCTTAGGTAACTGTCAACGAGAAATCCAGTGGCGACCTTGGATTTGACCTTGATCCACATTTTCAAGATCAATTTCAAGGTCAAATTGTTTTCTTTTAATGGGAACTCCTGTTTTTGTTGCCGGACTCAAAAAGAGCGGGAAATTTTACGTTTGGATATGTAATCAGGTCCAAGGATAACTTGGGCTGAAAATAGGCTGAAAGCAGAAGTGGACTGTTTTAATCAGACATCGTACACATTACAGGTTCCTAGTTCCTATGATTCGCATAGAAATCGTTTCTTCTATAAAAGCAACAGATAATTTGTTTAATGAAAAAAAACATAGACAGTAATACAGCAAACAGTTAAAATTTACATATTTTGTAGTATTAAAAGAAAATTATTTCTCGGATAAATCAAAACTGATATTGGATTCAGACGTTCTAATTACACTTCGTAAGGTTTGAGGCTATAAAACAGTCACTCGTTGTTCACATTCTACTTAACGAGTGTGCATCGTTATTGTTAACGTAGGATAGATCTTTCTGTCGATTATCTGGAGACGCGGTAGCGTCTCGACATACAATGAAAAAGTACATGAAAAATTAAACGTCACCGCGTATCTTTTACTCGTAAAACGGCAATTCCAACATAACCTAAAACTTCTTTCATTAATATCTAATCACATCTGCAATACTTTTTAAATTAAAAGGCATTTTTCTAATGTAAATCGCATATTAGCTTTCGAATAAAATCAATATCAATAAAATCGGTCCACGTTCGACAAAGATATCGTAATATTATGTCATGATTCATTCGCAAACGGTAGAATCTTGTTTTTATTTTTGGATAAAATTTTCGTCAATACTTAGCCAATATGAATTGAAAACCGAAATACACTAACGCGCAAAACTTAGGGGACAAACTTTTAAACGGTTCAAAAACATGGAAGTTTTCAACCGATTGGAATTAAATTCCGTGAGGAGTAGTTTTGTAGTGTCCTCTGGGCGTGTATAAAGTTACATGGGCAAGGGTTGATGCGAAGGGGTTAATTCACCCCCCTAAAGGGGAGGGTGTAAAAAACCCGTCTTTGAAACAGGCCGGGGATGACGGAAGAGGTCGAAAAAAATTTTAAAAATATTTAGGGCGACTCTGTTTGATACCCTCTACAAAATGCATCCCTTGAAATCGCTCTCGGACAAACCCGCCCCTCACAACACCCCATCCCCTCTAAAATCCGTAATTTTTGGACGATGGTCTCGACTTTAGACTCGATGCATTCTCTGGATTCCCCTGATCCAGAAAATGCCATCACACATACCGTGCACCCCATAGGCACTCCTTGGGTGGGTGGAACAGCTCTCAAATTTTCAACCCCCTTCGTAAGGGAGCACTTCCAAACATCGGAGGGCGATGAAATTCATCAAGTTTGTTCACGATACGTTAAGGATGAATGCCGAAAAGGTCCCGTTTCGAAAACTGCCCCCGGAGCTGAAGGGAGGGAGGCAGAGGTAGGGGTGGTCCATCCCCAAGTGTAAGGGTTGGAACGTTGTTTCGTTGGGTGGATTACATGTCAAACAGTCCAGGGCATCGGGCTGACACAGTTTTGATGTCTTTTTCCCGCGTGAATGGCAATAAAATACGAAAATGTTGTTTTTTTTGGAAAATCCACCCCCAACTTCAGACCCATCTGCAGGGGAATGAGATCCCCAAACAGATCCCCAAAAGATCAGATTTTTTGAATCACGCTTTCGTTGTCAAATCGGAGCAGATTTCAAAGAGTAGTAAGTGGGCCGGCATTCAGAAACGGAGCGAGGACCTGCACCCGTACGTGGTCAGACCAGACCGGACTCCAATTTAACGTGGGCTGACCACTACGAGCGCAGGGTCTCGTACCACTTTTGAATACCGTTTCCGACCGGCCCACTTAATACTCTTTCAAATCTGCTCCGATTTGACAACGAAAGCGTGATTCAAAAAATCTGATCTTAGGGGATCTGTTAATAAAGCATTCGCGCGTCAGAATCCGTGAACGGCGTTGACGTGGGGTTGCTTCTTCACCCTGCAGATGGGTCTGAAGTTGGGGGTGGGTTTTCCAAAAAAAAACGACATTTTCGTATTTCATTGCCATTCACGCGGGAATAAGACATCAAAACTGTGTCAGCCCGATGCCCTGGACTGTTTGACATGTGATCCATGCAACGAAACATCGTTCCAACCCCTACACCTGTGGGTAAACCACCCCTAACTCTGGGCCACCCTGTTCAGCTCCAGTGGCAGTTTTCGAAATGAGCTTTAAATGACATTGATCCTTAACGTACCGAGAATACACTTACACTTGGAGGTGGACCATCCCTACCTCTGCCTCTCCTCTCTTCAGCTCCGGGGGCAGTTTTCGAAACGGGACCTTTTCGGCATTCATCCTTAACGTATCGTGAACAAACCTGATAAATTTCATCGCCCTCCGATGTTTGGAAGTGCTCCCTTACGAAGGGGGTTGAAAATTTGATAGCTGTTCCACCCACCCAAGGAGTGCCTATGGGGTGCACGGTATGTGTGATGGCATTTTCTGGATCAGGGGAATCCAGAGAATGCATCGAGTCCAAAATCGAGACCATCGTCCAAAAATTACGGATTTTAGAGGGGGTGGGGTGTTGTGAGGGGTGGGTTTGTCCGAGAGCGATTTCAAGGGGTGCATTTTGTAGAGGGCATCAAACAGAGTCGCCCTAAATATTTTAAAAATTTTTTTCGACCTCTTCCGTCATCCCTGGCCTGTTTCAAAGACGGGTTTTTTATACCCTCCCCTTTAGGGGGGTGAATTAACCCCTTCGCATCAACCCTCGCCCATGTAACTTTACACACGCCCAGAGGACACTACAAAACTACTCCTCACGGAGTTTAATTCCAATCGGTTGAAAACTTCCATGTTTTTGAACCGTTTAAAAGTTTGTCCCCTAAGTTTTGCGCATTAGTGTAGATATCTCATTCATAATCTGCCAAGTGTTCAACATTTTTACACTATTCCATCACAATGAATTGCGCGTTACAAATAGTGGATATCTTCGTTCGTTTTATCATTTCATCATTAACATTTAATTAAATTTCTAGCAACAAAACTTTCTCTCATGCGTTCTGAGTACTTTTGAAAACTTAAAGGACTGAAACTGGTCTCTCTTTTTCTATATTATTGTAATACAATAAATTGCGCGTGGATTTCTATGTCCATATTCTCACTTTATTATTAACATTTAAATTTCTTGCACAGTTTACCTTTATTCTCGCCCATCACGGCCACGGCAATGGGCCAGGGTGGACGCTTCTAGGCAAACAACTAATGAATCGTGTACAGATTACACGTATATGCAGTAGAATTGTTTGCAGTTATCTACAATAAAAAGAAGTGAGATTCCTATAAAAAACTTTAAAGAAGTACAAAAATTACAATATTTTGACGTCACATTCAGCCATCTGCAGAAAATAGTTATGATACATAATCGATGTATACAAACTAATAAAGTTAAGGAAACTTAAGGATGCAAGAAGAAAAAATTAATAATTATTTTCTGAAAAAAAGTTCAACTAGAAAAATAATTTTTAGTGAAATGTATGTTAAATGTAATTGATATGTATAATTAATTTTTATAAAAATTGATGGATTCTCTTGAATTGTTCGAAAACATGCTCCATTTTTCGAGCATTTTATGTATTTCTATTATACATAATCTTAGATATTTCAATAAAATAGAAGAAAGACGTATATCCCTTCAGATAAATATTTTACTTTCAATGTACACATGCATAACGTTCAAATACTTTTACTTTCAGCATCGTTGTCCATCGTAGCCGCGAGCCTGTTTGCCCTGCAAACTGACGACAGAGCCAGTAGCTTCGTTATTACAAGGGGAGAGGCTTTTTACATGCAGGTAAAACTTATCGATTCTACTCACCGTTAGACTTTTATATTTCGTGTAAGTTTTTCTGTATAAAATGTACAAAATTAATAATTTTATAAACCTTCTTTAGAAATAAAAGTTGTTAGTTTCGACGAATTTCTGCACTATGTTAATTGTTGTTAGAAACTGGACAGAATTTGTTTAAAAGACTTCCTTCTGTATCCAAAAGTATTGAAGATATTAAAAATCTAGAATTTCTGAGTCTAGAGAATAGCGTTAACCTTTAAATTTGAATTATCTTGTTTCGTTAACATACATATACATACAGTGGGTGTAGAAAGTATTCGTACACCGATCAATTTCCAAAAAAACTATGTAAAATTGTAATTTATTAACTTATTTTTTATAAACCATGACATTCTACATATTCTCGGAAATCTCTAAAATAGATAGAGTACAAAAATAATAGCTATTTATGTAAGTTACGAAATTAACAAAAAAAAAAAAAAAAAACAATTAATCGATAGAAATGTTGAAGTAATAAGTATTATTCGCACAACTGTTTAATTTTTAATATATCGTTAAAAAAAAAAGAAATTTACATTAATTTATAAGTTGTGACGGACCTCGCGTGGGCGGCCGAGAAAGCCGCTATTCCACACGCTAGGTCGCACAATTCCCACGGACAAATGTGTTTATAAAAATTTTAGGCGCCAGTTCCAAGTGCACGCGTCCGTCCTTCCGGCTGCTCTAGCGGAGAGCGAAACTCAAGGGAGGTCAGAAGAGGAAATAAACTCTGATCCGCGTACGTTTAATCGAATTTCTTTATTCGCGCGAAATCTACGCGGGGAATTCCGCGGTACAATCACCGTGAAGGAAAAGTTTGGCGACCAGGCGCTGAAAGGGGAGCGCGACGTGGAATTCCCGATACAAAAAAGAAAGGAAGTATCAGAATAAAAAAAACGGGATATCTAAAAAATATCTGACCGGCGCGACTTAATTCTATGGGGGCCTCGCAAACAAGAATCCGCCCTAGAATAAAATACAGTCAAAAGAAAACGTTATACCGGGAATTAACGGCTACGCGTTTCGAAGGGGCCCTTTTCTTCGAAACGCGACTCACTCTCTAACCGCGTAAGGCCACGCGGGAGACGACCGAAGTATACGGAGGGACTGCAAAAGGTTCTCGCCTCCGGGGGTGGTCCTGTCGTATGCAAGTGCACCGGAGCACGTCCGCGGACACACACACACACACGATCCGCTAACTCACCCATGCGCGCACACAGATGAAAACCCGAACAAGTGGGCCCCACCTGGGTTGTCCTGGACCTTAGGTACCGAATCGTCCTTCAAAGGGGGGTTGCAAAGAGGTAGCGACCACTCGCGAGCGCGAAATCGTAAGAAAAGCAAACACTCATAATTATCGCAAGCGCAAAGGAATAACACAAGACTGGTAAGGCAGGCGTGATGCTTGCGCGATGGTCAACCGTTAATTCCCTTTGTTCTGCCGTTTTGTCCGAAAAATCGGTGTCGGTCTTTTTCGGCACCCTTCGCGTCGCTGGCTCGCGGCTCTCCCCACTCAGGATCCGGAGGGGCTCCTCTTACCGTCCGCCACCAACGTCCAGGGTGGACCAGGTCCTGGGGGTCCCCTTGGCAGCTCGGGGCCGATGGTCCGGTGGTCCATCCTTGGAGGGTGGCCAGTCCTCCCTTGGTGGCGGCTGCATTTCCGTTCTCCCCGGGTGGAGGGCGCGGCGACCGGCGACTTGCCGCGCTTTCGCGAATTCGCGGCGGCGGGGGAGGGGATCATAAAGGGCGCGAGATGGAAAAGGTCCCTATCTAAACGCGCTGTCCACACATCCCTCCACACGCGACCACCTCCGCAGGCGTGTGTGGCGGGGAGAGAGCGAAGCCCTTCCGGGGGTCAGGGTGCTCTCGTGACGGGCAGAAAAGGTCTGCCCCGGCACAAAGTATATAATACTTCCTTCGAGGGATTTCCTTTTGATTTTATAATTATTGCAACTTTTCTAATGGGATCTTCTCCAATTCCTGTATTAAAGTCTTTTTTAAAAGTACTTTACTGGAAATTTGATGTTTTCTAATTCGTACGAAGCAATAAACTAATGTGTTTACGTTATAAACTCTACTGTAAATGGTTCGTCATAAGAATCGTACAAATACTTATTGCTTCTATACTTTTACCCACTTTTCGCACATTTTTTGTTAATTTCACAAATTATATTAAGTAGTAAATGTTGTTTGGACTATATCTATCTTAGAGACTTCCGAAAATATGTAAAATATCATTGATTATAAAAAAAGAAATTAATAAACTACAATTTCACACAAAAGTTTTTTGGGAAATTGATCGGTGAACGAATACATTCTACATCCACTGTATGTATATGAGAACGACCACATGTATATGGTCGAAACGTCATGGCATTTTTTCTGAGTAAGGAAAAACTAAAAGCATACATTTGTTCTGCAATCATTAACCCTTTGACCACGGGACGATTTTTGCAGGAAGTTCTATGGGTCGTACTGCCAGGGTCGCGCTCGTAATTTAAACGGCCAAGTAGACGAATTTTTAAATTTATCAAATCAATTTTTCTAAAATATCTCCTTATAGAGATATTCATCCGGCGCTTAGTTTAAAAAATAAAAATTGAAAACTGAAGTCCTTTTTCCCGAAATTTAATTAGATTTTATAATATATCTAAAATCTTCTAAATTTTGTATAGATACGTAGTAGGACTCAGCGATATCTACTAATCCATCAAAAAACCAAAAATCCATTACTATTTATAAATATTTACTTGGAAATGAGTAACTGCTAACTAACGATACTTTTCATTTTCACCGTTAGAAAGTATCGAGGGAAATTTGCGTTCGAAACAACTTCTAGTGAGACAACTGTTCCTCAAGGGACTTGGAATATCAGATATGAAAAGAAAACCACTTTTAAATAAAATTTTTTTTTATTAAAATTTAAGAGATTCTGAACAATTCTATGCAAAGAAAATTGAATTTTTTTTACAACTTCTAGTGCTCCAAATTCAATTTTCTTTGCGTAAAATTGTTCAGAATCGCTTAAATTTTAATAAAAAAAAAAAAAATAAAAAAGTGATTTTTTTCATTTTTTGATGTTCCAAGCCCCTTAATGTTTAAAGAAGTTTTTCACAAATGTGCAAATCGATTCGTACACAATTGTCTGAAATAGAATGTTAGTTATAAGATTGCGCGTCGTTGTCAATGACGGTACTTCGAAGCTGCAAGGTGCGATTTTTAAGTTATCAATTTTTCGTTTTTTACATTAAACGTCAGATGAATAAACTGTAAAAATTTCGTCCACTTGCGCGGGGCTCCGGATTTCGTTTCATTACTCGGTTCCCATATGTACACTGGTGGATATAATTATAAAATACCCCGAAAAATATTGTTTCAGGTACTTAATAATGTAGTTATATTAAAATACACTTCGTCAAAAGAAAATAGTTTATTTTTTAATAACAACTTCATAAATTTTGCGAAAAATGATAAAACATTTTTAATTTATTCGAAAATAATACAATTTTGACTGAACATAATTATAAGTAGACTGCGGATCTTTATGCAAAATAAAATCTTCACGAACGTGCCTAGAAAAATTGAACCTAAATAGGAATTTATTTTATTTTGGAAATTCCTATTTAGGTTGAATTTTAATTATTTATTTTATTCTGGAAATATTATAACATGAACTTTACTTTCAATCTTTTTTATATTCTTGTATATTGTTTGCATTTTGTAAGTTCTTGCACATTCAAATTTCCTATAAATGTATAAAGATCTGCAGTCTAATTATAAGACACCGCTTAAAAGACGAAAAGAATGTACAAAAGTTCTGAAAATTTATATACATTTTGAAATACTAATAATGTGTAGAGCCTCCTTTATTTTGAACAACTTCGATCATTCGTTTCGGTAGACTTTTAAATAAATGTTTTATATTCTTTTGATCTAAGGCTTCTCAACCTTTCAGAATTGCTACTATCAAATCATTAAGACTATTCTATTGTTTGCCACCTTCGTATACTCTTCTACTCAACTGACCCCACACATTTTCTATAATATTGAGATCCGGAGACCGTGTTTGCCAATCTACATAGAATTGGTATACTTTGACCTTGAAAATAATTTGTTACAACTTTCGCTGTATGAGCAGCTGCATTGTCCTACTGGAATATGAAATTTTCTCCAGCCACTCTTTCAGCATGATTCCGAATCTGCTCTTGTACTAGTTTTAAATAACCAGTAGCTTTCATTCTGCCATCAATGAACTTAATTTCGGTCTTCCCATTATACACGATGCCTGCCCGTAATATCACAGATCCTCCACCACATTGACGGCGACTTAAAATTCTTGCTTCTTTCCGTAAATCGTGAAAATAATATTTCCAACCATCAGGTCCATTTAAATTCACTTTTTTTCATCAGTAAAAACCACTTTCCGCCAATTTTTCTTCCACTATACATGATTAAGAGCAAAATCCAGTCGACATTGTTTGTATACTATCGACAAAGGTGGTTTAACAGCAAATTTTTTTCGTTTCAGATGCTGTGCCTTTTGTATAACTCATTTTACAGTCTTTACAAATACTTTTAACCCACATTCTACTAAAATTTGCCTAGGTGTAAGAGCTGAATTTGATGCACACCTTAAAACTGCTCTTTTATCTCTTAAAGTAAGGGATGATTGTTTTCCAGATCTCTTCTTCTTTCCGTAATTTTTTGGATTATTTAAAAAATTACGAATTACACACCTACTTCTTTTCATTTTTAGTGACATTTGTTTTAAATTCTCTCCTTTGCTCTTCTTTGAAAGATTCCTATTTTTTCCTCTTTAGTTAGAACTTTACCACGTGGCATGATTTTAGTTTTAATGTTTTTTCTAGTTTATACTAACAAAATCACTATAAGAGAGAATTCACAGTACGAAATACACAAATACATTTAGATTCAACGACTGTCTGTAGTCGACTAACATTAAT